AGAAAGGTAGAAAGAAAACAGATGGGAAGGGAGAGAGGTAGGTAGGTGGAAAGAATGAGAGAAAAAGACAGAAACATAGAAAGCAAATAGATAGGGGAGGGAGGGGGAGGGAGGGAGGGAGGAAGTAGGGAGATTCAGGGGTGGAACTGTGGAGGGTGAACCTTTTGGAGGCACCTCAGTGGGGTATAATGCCATAGAGTCCACGCACAAAAGTAGCCATTTCCCCCCCAGGGGAGCTGATCAGGGAGATCAGCTGTAATACCAGGCGATCTCCAGGCCCCTGATGGGTTGGCACCCCTAAGTGAAAGGAACAATAGAGTTTTATGTTATTATCCCGTTTCAGAAAAAGACAGATTATTCATAGATCGATTAAGCTTTCAGTCAGTATGTTTCCATATGATATTGAGGAGAACATAAATCGAAATTTGTTAACTGGGATCATTTGTCTCAAGATTGGCTTCCCCTTCAGTCAGCGACAGGTTTCTCTCAGGCTCGATTCACGTTACCACTTTACGTGTTGTTTTTTTACAGCCTGGATTGTGATTGGCTAGTAGCAAGCAGGTGATGTGAGGGAGGGCTCCAGCACAAGCCCCGATCCTGCCAGCATGACAAGACCTCCCAATGCAGGATGAGCAACTGTCCTCCGGGCCCTCCATGAAATCTTCAAGCATGATACTTTGGCTTGGGAATTAATTGCATTACAGATTGAGGAAAGGACCCCTGGCCAGATCATGGTTAGCGATATGGTGAATTGGTCCGTAGTAGTGTTGAAAGTTGAAAGCATTGTTCCAGTAATGTTTCCTAAATGCTTAGGCATGAAGTTTTAATGCAGTACCTATTTTATTTGAAAATGCAGTTGGCTTGGACCCTTATCTAATTTTTACTGGTCCTTGGCCAGCTGCATGCAAGTAAGACATAAAACTGACGCCTTTCCAGACAAGAACTGCATGCAGTAAACGCACACTTATTGCCATTTTGCTGCAAACAATGTAAGATTCTGTTGTTGCTGCAGCTGGGGAAATGCCACATTCTTTGCCCAGCAATAGCGAGTGTGGAAAGTGGGTTACCCATCACAAAGACTGAGGAAGCATTAGTGACAAGCAATGTAACACTTGCCAGTAAAAGTCATTCGTTTTAGTATTATTATTTCAGTGGCTGAGAACTGCCAGCCTCAAGTGCGAGAACACTCATGGAGCATTTTTAAGCAGAAAATGGAAGCAAGGCTGTTGCTTCTTCTTTCCCCAAGCAATACCTCACTACTTTGTGGGCTTTTTACTGTATTTTGTGGCTTTTAATGTAATTTTGAAGGCTGCTTGCTCCATCTCTCTCCCCCCCCCTCACACACACACACCTGTCCTTATACTGAATGGTCTATCTATTCCATAGCGGCGCTGTCTCCCTTCCATTACGCAGGGTGAAGATATAACACTTTGGCACTGGGCAAGTGCTAAGATTCTGAGGCTTATAAATCACCTGGAAAGGCTCTAAGTGGAATGAATAAGTTATTTTGTCCATTTAAATCCGTAACACTTTCTCCCTCCTAGTCAGGAAGAAAGCAGTGATGCATCCATCTCTAAAGAAAGGATGAAAATTCTTTTGTCGTGGTCTAGAAAAAAGTCCAGAGAGGAGAATAATTTCCCCATGCACACATCTATGGGTAGATTCACACAGCTAAATTGCACGCTTCCTTCCATGGGCTGGGATTGCTTACATGTGTGTATTGAAGTTGTGTCTGTAGTAGCTGTCACACATGATAACAGCGGAGTACTCTCATGATAGCTGAGAAGACATGGCTATGTTAGAGTTACCAGGTCCCACCCATGGCCACTGGCAGGGGTTGGGATCAAGGCTGTATTAACCCATGGCTGGGCCACCCGGTCTTCCCGGAGGCCTCCCAACAACCTCAGAAGCCAGCCTGTTGTGGGACGAAATGCAACGAACTGTAGACAGAGGCTGCCCCCCCCCCCGTCGTCCTCCACCTCCCTCGGCCTCTGGACCCTCCACCCGCCGGAGCGTCTGGGCCATCCATCAGCTCCTAGCACACTAAGGCTGAGATGCTGGGCGGTACCTCTGTCGGCGAGACGAGGGCAACGCAGCCAGTGGCCAGGGACCCGTTTCTGAGTGGCAGTTCCGGCAGCCAACTGGTTTTGGTGCGCATCGAATCTTGCCATCCCAAAACAGAATTATTACATAGGAGAGATACAGCCCTGGATGGGAGGTAGAGTTGCCAGATCCAAGTTGGGAAACTCCTGGAGACTTGGAGATGGAGCCTGGGAACAAAAAGGGTCTCAGTGGGTACAGTGCCATAGAACCCACTCTCCAAAGCACCCACTTTCTCCAGGGGAAATGATCTCTGTAGTCTGGTGATAAGTTCTCTTCTGGGGACTCCCCAGGTCCCACCTGGAGGCTGACATCCCTGGCTACATGGTTTGCCCCCAGAATGCCATATTAGCAAGATGGTAACTAACTGTTCAAAGAAACCACTGTGGGTCTTTCATATAAAGAAAAAAAACAGGCTCGTGTTAAATGGCATGATAGATTTTTTACGACAATTACGTAAACTGTGGAAAGAATCTTAACAAAATTAAGACAGACACTCGTTAGGGGTGGTGTAGACTCAAAGACAAAGAACAGTTTAAAACTTAAAAACATAAGAGACGCCAATGTTGGATCAGGCCAAAGGCCCATCCAGTCCAACACTCTGTATCACACAGTGGCCAGAAATACCAGTGCCATCAGGAGGTCCACCAGTAGGGCCAGGACATTAGAAGCCCTCCCACTGTTGACCCCCCCAAGCACCAAGATGACAGAGCATCACTTGACCCAGAGCCCCTATCTATACCTTGTGGCTAATAGCCACTGATGGACCTCTGCTCCAAATGCTTATCTAATTCCCTTTTGAAGCCGTCCATGCTTGTAGCCGCCCCCACTTCCTGTGGCAGTGAATTCCATGTGTTAATCACTCTTTCGGTGAAGAAGTACTTCCTTTTATCCGTTCTAACCTGACTGCTCAGCAGTTTTTAATTGCTTAAACATTTTAATGTTTTTATGTTCGCCTCCTCATGGATCCTGATCCCACAATGCGGGAGATGGGAGACGTGGGGA